ATTCTTTTGCATGTGGCTGTCCAGTTGTCCCAGAACCACTTGTTTAAGAGACTGTCTTTTTCCCATTGCATATTTTTGCCTCCTTTGTCGAAGACTAATTAACCATATAATTGTGGGTTTATTTCTGGGCTCTCTGCTCTGTTCCATTGATCTATGTGTCTATTTTTTTAAGTTTATTTGAGAGAGAGAAAGAGAGAGCACATGCGCACAGGGGACGGATTGGGAGACAGGGTGAGAGAGGATCCCAAGCAGGCACTGTGCTATCAGTGTGGAGCCCGATGCGGGGCTCAATCCCACTAATTGTGAGATCATGACCTGAGCTGAAACCAAGAGCTGGACACTTAACTGAACCATCCACGTGCCTCTATGTGTCTATTTTTGTGCCAGTACCATACTGTTTTGATTACTATAGCTTTGTAGTATATCTTGATATCTGGGCTTGATTCTTCAAGATTGCTTTGTCTATTCAATGGTCTTTTGTGGTTCCATACAAATTTTAGGATTATTTGTTCTAGTTCTGTGAAAAATTCTGTTAGTATTAGGTAGGGATTGCATTAAGTCTGTAAATTGCTTTGGGTAGTATGGACATTTTAACAATATTTGTTCTTCCAATCCATGAGTGTGGGATATCTTTCCATTTGTTTGTGTCCTCTTCAGTTTCTTTCATCAGTGTTTTATAGTTTTCAGAATATAGGCCTTTCACCTCCTTGGTTAAGTTAATTCCTAAGTGTTTTATTATTTTTGGTGCAATTATAAATGGGATTGTTTTCTGAATTTCTCTTTCTGCAATTTCACTGTAAGTGTACGGAAATGCAACAGATTTCTGTATATTGATTTTGTATCTTGCAACAGTACTGAATTTATTTATCAGTTCTTGTAGTCTTTTGGTGGAGTCTATAGGGTTGTCTATATACAGTATCATGTCATTTGCAAATAGTGAAAGTTTTACTTCTTCCATAACCATTTTGGGTGCATTTTATTTCTTTTTCTTACCTGATTGCTGTGGCTAGGACTTCTAGTACTACATTGAATAAAAGTGGTAAGAGTGGATATCCTTGTCTTGTTCTTGCTCTTAGGGGAAAAGCTCTATTTTTTAGCATTGAGTATAATGTTAGCTGCAGGTTTTTCATAGATGGCCTTTATTTTGGCCTCTTTTTCTTAATATTTTAATGCTCTTTATATTCCTAATATTACAGATTAGCCTGTATCTGTGATAAATGCTGCAAAGTTTTTCTTTCACCATGCTATTTTTTTTTTTTTTTTTGCCATAGAGCAGGAGTTTGTTTCTTTGTTTGTTTGTTTGTTTGTTTTCCAAATTTTAGTTTAAATTCTAGTTAGTTAACATATAGTGTAATATTGGTTTCAGGAGTAGAATTTGGTGATTCATCACTTACATATAATACCCAGTGCTCATCATAATAAGTGCCCTCCTTAATTCCCATCACCCATTTAGCCCATCCCCCACCGACCTCCCTGCATCAACCCTCAGCTTGTTCTCTATCATTAAGAGCCTCTTATGGTTTGCTTCCCTTTCTCTTTTTCCCCCTTCCTCTATGTTCATCTACTTCGTTTCCTAAATTCCACTTATGAGTGAAATCATATGGTATTTGTTTTACTCTGACTTATTTCACTTAGCATAATACACTCTATCTCCATCCGTGTCATTGCAATGGCAAGATTTCATTCTTTCTGATGGCTGAGTAATATTCCATTGTATATATACACCATACCTTCTTTATCCATTCATAAGTCAATGGACACTTGGGCTCTTACCATAGTTTGGCTATTGTCGATAATGCTGCTATAAACATCAGGGTGCATGTCCTCCTTCAAATTTGTGTTTTTGTATCCTTTGGCTAAATAAATCCTAGTGCAATTGCTGGATCCTAGGGTAGTTCTATTTTTAACTTTTTGGGGATCCTCCATATTGTTTTCCATGGTGGCTATACCAGTTTGCATTCCCACCAACAGTGTAAGAGGATTCCCCTTTCTCTGCATCCTCGCTAACATCTGTTATTGCCTGAGTTATTAATTTTAGCCATTCTGACAAGTGTGAGGTGATATCTCATTGTGGTTTTGACTTGCTGGGTTTGGGGTTCTTTTTATTAAAATAATTTTTTTAAAGATTGATTTTCAAGTAATCACACCCAACATGAGGCTCATCTCACAACCCCAAGATCAAGAGTCACACACCCTACCAATTGAACCAGCCAGGTGCCCCAAGGAGGGTTTTAAAAACTGCTGCTGAATTTACTAATATTTTCTTTTACTGCATCTGGATATTTTATTTTTCATTAGAAAGCATTATTTGGGAGGTGGGCTGCATTTGGACTGGGTTTCCATTTATCCTGATATCCTAATTCTCTCTGTTCTGTGAGGCACAGTAGTGAGACTTCTTTTCCCTTCTGCCAAGGAGGTGATGAAGGCCGGAGCTGAACCAGGCTGATGGGTTTTCACCTGTTTCTCTTTCAGGAGGTCCACATTGCCTCCTTTTGACCCAAGGAATCCTGGTTGGAGAGAGTTACAGATACTTAGACACTGTTCTAAACACCAGGTGGTTAACCTGGTGGATAGTAAGAGGCATGGGTCCAATTTTCTGATCAGCAAGGTGGCCCCATGGAGTGGGGGTGGGATGGTGAGGGGAAAATAATCGGTGATCCTTAGAGTCCGGGCCACTAGGTGGCACTCCTTTAGATTCATTTCTGTGGGACTGTAGGAGGAAATGCTGTAAGTCTTCAGAAGAAAAAGGAAATGACTCGCTAAGTTTAACTGGCCAAAAGGAAGCCCCAGTGGGAAGTTCCCCTCCATCCACACAATTTTGACTTCTATAATCAGACTCGGTGCCTCTTTGCCTGTGTTAGAAAATATCACTTCTTCCATATCACTATGGAAGAATCATATCCATATGATTCCTCACCAGGAGGGCAATGTGGGCCGAGTTGTATGTGTAAAGATTGTCTTTGCTGTGAGTGTCTCCAGGCCCTGGGGTAAGGGCATGGGGAGAGAAGTCAAAGAGAAGTCAAGATGGTCACTGCATGACCTGTTCTTGGAGAGCCTGGACCTTGGAGTGACAAGACCTTGGTTCTTGTCCCAAAGCTACAGCCAACTGGCCCTATTATTGCACACATGCTGCTTAGCCTTCTATTACTGTGTCCTCATCTGCAAAATGGGACAACAAATGCCTTTCCTACCTATGTGTCAAGGATGTCAATGGGACAAAAGGATGTTAAGTGGAAATTTGCACAGTAAAAAACACTGTGCAAATGTATTTTTATTATCATTATGGTTACATTTTGTCATATATGGATATATCTCTATGGAAGATACAATGGTCATAAGACTTGTATTCATAGGCTAATCTGCTGTTTATAAGGTAATTTTTTCATATACTTGTATTTTTTCACAGCTTGTATCAGGTGACTAAAGGGGTTCATAGTTCAAAAGTGGTTAAGAATTATGGACCTGAAAAAAGGAGCCAGGCTGGCCCCAGGACTTCCTCCCCATTTGGTTTCTACAAAGACTCAACTGGTTCTAGTCCCTCCGCAACTCCCAGATGGGATTGATAGCTACTGGTCTCACTTCTTACTGCAGCTGGTCTGGAGGGAGACAGAAAAGAGATGAGAGAAGGGTCTAGAAGGGGTGTGGAGTGTCTAGAAACCAAAGATGAAACTCTAAGGCAGTGGCCTTGCAGCAAATAGAAAACAAGTTTGTGTTGTAAAACTCTTCGTCATGCCACAGTGGTCTTCTTTCTGTTCCTCAAATGTGCCATGTGTTCCTATTTAGGGCCTTTTGCAGAGGCAATTTTGATTATCTAGAATGTTCTTGACCTGGCTCTTCTCCCTGACTGGCTCCTTCATATCAATTCCAATATCACTTCCTCAGAAAAGTCCTCTCTGATCACACAACCCCCCCCCCCCCACCGCCCCCAAGCACAAATTATCTTTCAAGACCACTTATCACCACAGGAAATCATCCTTTTCTCCCCCTGCTTATTTGTTTGTTGTCTACACAGCCCACCCACCGTCTAGCAGAGTGAAAGCACCTTTGGGGCAGGAATTCCATGTCATTCCCAGAGTCTACAACTATCTGACACAAGGCAAGAACTCAACACGTGCTCATTGGGTGGATGTGTGTCTTAGAAAAGGAACTGCGTTCTTGTTAGAAAATGCTGCATCTGCATCTGGGACTTTTCTTTTTCCCTTGGTGCCAATGTCAAAGTCCTCAGGTCCTGCCCGTGTGTTCTACTTCTGAGAAATGTCTCACACCCCTGTCCCCTCCTGCTCGCCACCTCCCACCCCTCACAGCTGCTGCTCCCTTGCCTGGGCACTATCAGCCCTGTCCCTCGCCCCCCGCTGCCAAGACTTTCCTGAAACACAGGTGTCTGTCCCCTCCTCCCTTGCTCTCATTCACCCCCACTCCTGGGACAACCAACCCCCTTCTGTGTCTTCCTTGCCTTCTTTGCCTTCCTTGGGGCTGAATCAAAGTGTGCTCCCCGTAGTAACCCCAAGCTTTGCTTTTCCGGCCAACATCTTGCCTGTCTCATTAGTGGAGCCCAAGCATGGCACTGTCAGCAGCTCCTCGGGAATCCCTGGAGAAGACAGAAGTGTCTGTCCCCTAAGTGCATGGAGCTTCTGAACCCGGCAGGTTGGGTGTGCCAGAGAGAGCTTACTGAGGATGTCTCAGGAGAGGGCCAAAAAGGGCCCCCCAAGGGCAGACCAGGGCCCTTACACAGCTCTTGGGGAGCCTGTGGGCAAAGATGTGGGGCTGGCCTGCCACAAATTGGTCAAGCCATTGGAAGGGCTGGAATGGAGCTGCACTCAGGCAGCTGTCGCTGTCCCCGCTTGTTTTGTAGCACAGATAGTGGTACACGGGTAGCAGGGGGTTGTCTCATAACTTAAGCGGAGAGAATGCAAACCCACTGAGACAGGACGTCTTGGCTTTGGTGGGGGAACAAATGCTGACTGCAGTTGACGGTGTGGCCCTTCTCTTTCCATCAACAGCTGTTGCCAGGTGGGGCCGACCCGGGGGCGAGCAAGCTGCTGCTTAGAACCGGTTAGAACCGGTTAGAACCGAAGGGGAAAACTTTCCGTAGGCTGTTCAGGTAATGATGTTTAGTGACCTTTCTTACGAAAGACATTATATATCTTGTGAGTTATTACCATTAAAGATATTTATTTTTTATACCAAATGTCTAAATTCATCTACTCCGTAGAGATCATTTCATCTCCTACTGTATGCGATCTCAGCAGAAACAATGCTTTCCCCAAATGTGTCAGTTCTATTTTTAAAAAGGTCCAGTGACCTATTTCTGTAACTCTCACACACACTGAAAGAACAGCGGAGTCTATTTAGGCTCAGCTCTGTCACTGAAAAGTTACCCCTGCCAGGTGTTCCCTACAGAGGTGCCACCTTGCCTCGCAGGAAAGAAGCATGATGAAGTAAGAGTATGGTCAGAGTGAGCTCCTGGGAGCATACACACACACACACACACACACACACACACGCACACACACTTCCCCAGTTTTGAACAGTGTCCAGATGACTACAGTCCAACTTTAGCCAAACTTGACATTAGGAGATTGCTTAATAATCAACTATTTCCTGGACAAAGAACTTGAAAAGATAATTTATAAAAGAGGAACTCAATTCATCAACTAATACGTGGAAAAAGGGTTAGCTCCTCTAGTAACCACAAAAATGAAAATTGTTAACAGTGCCACTGTCCAAAACTAACCTAGGGTATGAGAAGTCAGGGTAGTGATTACCCTTGGGTGGGGGGCAAGGGGTCAAAGGGGGCATGACAGGTGCTTCTGGGGTTCTGGTAACGTTTAGTTTCTTGATCTGGGTGCTGGTTACTTAGAAGTCTTCACTTTGTAAAAATTCACTTATGATTTGTGTACTTCTCTGAATGTATGATAAGCCTCGCCAAAAATTTTACATAAGAAGACAATTCCACTTTCTACCTCTTAGGTTATATTATAATAATATATCATATTATATTTTACTTTACATATTACATATACATATATTAGTGATAATAGCCAGTGCAGTGGAAAGCCATCTCAAAGCTGGAATTTTCACATATTGCTAGTGACAGTGCACATTAATACAGCCCTCTTTGGGGAGCGATCTGGCAATATGAATTTAAAAATCTTAGAAGCATTTGTATTTGCTAGCTGCATAATTCCACTTCTGAGACTCTATCTTTAGAAATAATCCTAAATGTCAAAAAAGAGTTACGTGGGTGTGCCTGGGTGGCTCAATAGGTTAAGCGACCAACTCTTGGTTTCGGCTCAGGTCATGATCTCAGGGTTCGTGAGATCAAGCCCCGCGTTGGGCTCTGTGCTGACAGCATAGAGCCTGCTTGGGATTCTCTCTTTCTCTCTCCTTCTCTCTCTGCCCTTCCCCTGCTTGTGTGTGCATGTACTCCCTCTCTCTCGAAATAAATAAATAAACATTAAACAAAGGGTTACGTGCACACATGCATTGCAATGTCATTTAGAATAACAAAAAATTTATAATAGTAAGGCATTGAAAGCAATATAAATGTTCAACTATAGGGCAATAGGTCAGTAAACTCTGATAAATACATGTGATGACATTTTGTGCACTTATTATATAGTACACTAAAGTGAGCAATGACAGAAGGAAACACAATGTAGTAAGAAAAGCAGGATATGAAATTATAGGCACAACTATAACTATGTTTAAAAAAAAAAAAAAGAACACACCTATGCAGAAAAAATCACGAGAAGATAAAAAAGTGATCAGTGTTCATGTCTGGGTAACAGGCCTATGGGCAGTATATTTACTTTCCTGTGTTTTCCAAATTTTATTCAATGAGTCTGTATTACTTTGGTCAAGGAAGTCATGTTTGAAGAGTAAGCCATGTGCCTTTTACTCAGTCTCAGGGGGTGCTGCCCTTTGCTTCTCCCAAATCCCCTACACTCCTGCCAGTCTGGGTTTTGGTGCCTCATGTACCATTGCAGGCTGTGGGGGGATGGAAGCATTGAAAACGGTCACCTCTGGGCGGGGAGCATATTGAAGCCCACTACACTCTCCGTTCTGGCTGATGTAGGTTTGGTTCTGATGACCCAGGAAGAACCCCTAAGCTTATCACTAGGGCTACAAGTGTGCCAAGGTCCTACCAAAACACTTGAAATCTGAGGGGGTGTGGGGGGGGGGGACTGTTGGCTCAAAAATAAGTGAAGTGCAAAATTAAAATTTACAATTTTTTATTGCAATGACTACAAAATGTAAATTAGATCAGCTCCTTTAATTGTTAACATTTGATTTCATAAAAATTTCATTAAATTGGAGAGCAATTTATAGGTTTAATTTTTTATTATATTCAAGATTTTCTGACCCTTTATGGCCTTTGAGAGAAATAATGGTTGATATATATTAAATTCTTTTCTGGTAACCATATAATTTAAAAAAAACCTACAAAATTATGAGAGATCTCTCAAAAAGGGCAATATAATTGTGTCTCCTGTGGTATTATGCCTGACTCCAAGTAAGGTGGGGTCTCCACAAGTGAGAGTCCCCTGGGCCAAGCAATCTTTATTTCTCCCCTCAGGTAATAGCGAATCTTAAGAGGCCTCCCATCCCACCTTTGCCCTGCTCCAAAATGAAAATGTATTTAGGTCTGTTCCTGGGAAACATCTTACACTGGCTCCCCAAGCTCTCCTAAGGGAAGTCGGAGCTGACCCCCCAGGCCAGGTAGGCTTCTCTCCTGCCCTCTTACCTAAGTACCGTGCTTCCTTTAGTCAAACCACTTTCCTCTTGAGATTGTCCTTATCTGCCTCCGTTTATTGCCCTGAGAGTTTTCGGAAAGCAGGGGCCACTTTGTAAAGAACTTTCTTAACAGCGGGAATACTCCTGGAGGTGAGGAGGCAAAGCAGGAAGGGGGAGGGGTGGGAAGACAGACCCACCTCTGGAGATGGAGGGATGGGGGTAGAGCCTAGGGCTGGTGGGGCAGATTTGAACCTCTGGGTAGGCAGAGGCACCCAGTTCGAGGATACACCAGTCTGGAGTGCAGGAGAGGAGCTCGGATAGAGAAAGCGAGTGGTGGCGACCAATATAAATGGGGTGGGGTGGGGTCGAAGTCACTGCTGTGGCTGTGGCTGTGCCTGTGGCTGTGGCTGTGAGGAGCCCACTTCGGAAGTGTGGGCAGAGAGAGAGCGCTGTGAGAAACCTCACCACTTGTGGGCTGGGCAGAAGACAGCGTGGATGAAAGATAGCAGGGCCTATGAAGTTCTCGGGGTTCCCGCAGAAAGAGGAAGAAAGCTCTAACAGGAGGCAGGAGGCAGGAGGCATAGCCACCCCTCCCTCACCCGAGGCCAGAGGTGCAACGGTGAGCAGTCATCTGCGGATCAGCTCTAGGCCAGGCCCTATACCCAATGCTTTGCAAGAATTATCTCAAGTGAGCTGCAGAACCCTGTGAAGATAGACCCCATTTTACAGACGAACACAGGTTGGCTGAGGAACTCGCGCAAAGACTCATGGGAAGGAAGTGCAAGCGTGTAGACCCGGCTCCAGATTCCATCCCAGAGCTAGGTTGTCTCCAAGTATGACTGCGGCTGGAAGAGCGTCCCCCGGGGGCCGGTTATTAGAAAGCCTCCAGGGAAGTGTCTGTGATGAGGGTCAAAGCCAAGCAGCAGGAGAATCGCTGAGTCAGGGAAAGGGGAAGAAAGGCAGGGAGGGACTTTTTCATGAAGCAAAGGGGTATTTGCAATTTATTGTGTATTTATTATTTTTTCCATATCAAGAAGCAATCGCCAGTTAATGCTTTTATAATTTTAATGTCTAAAAAATTACCTTAGCTGCTTCCAGGTGGCATGTGGGGCCTGAGGCTGAGAGCTGCCCCTGCCACCACCAACACGGACACTTTGTACTAATAAGTCTTGTTCTTGTGCTGGATGGTCCCAACCTGAAGCTGAAGAAGTCGCCCTGGGTGCAGGACCACGATGGTGTAAGCCCTGCTGGTGGCCTCTGACATCCTCGTCGTGGGAGGAACAATTGATGGTGTTGTTGCAGAACCTCCTAGCGTTGGCTCTGTCTCTGATGTACATGGGTGTCAGAGGCCAGCAGCTTTCTTGGCCTACGGAGTAAATGGCCAATATACTGTGGAAGGACCTGCATCCAGCTTCCTGTTCACAATGGATAGTGGGGAAGTTTCTGTTTCATAATGCTGGACCAATCCAATGCATCCAACATCCCACAACTCAGGAGATTTCTTCTACTCATTGGGCTCTTCTGTGTCCTGTTGGTTTGTTTGGTGGCTGGAACAGTCACGGGTTGGAAAGCCTTTTGGGAAGAAATCAGAGGCTATGAATTTGCTCTTGTTCAGGAAGTTTTAAAGGTTGTACTGATCCCCTAATATGAAACGTGGAAAAGGATGGAAAGCACCAGAAAAAGCAGCATCTCTGAAAAGGAAGAAAGCATACCATCGCTTGGACTAGATGTCTTGCTATTGAAGAGCCAGGCTTGTTAATGTTTCTTCCTGCTGACCTATACTGACAAACCAATAACAGTTGAGAAAAAAGTTTCTCGTTCCTTAAAGAAAATATATTCCATTTCTAAAACTGTAATACTGAATAAAGTGATTTTTCTTTTACAATGCCCTGTTTTCTCCTTTTTGGAGAAAACACTTCTAAGTTTCAGGATTTCATGTAAAATCAGGAAGCAAGATCCCATAAGCTGAGAAGTCTGGACCGCTGATGGTGTTTCCCTATGCTGCTTTGCCTTTAAACAGATTGGGAACAGTACATTATTGCAGATACGTCTGTAAGATGGTTTCCTGAACAGTAAGATGTAGGGAAGGAGTAAAAGTAAATCATTTTTCTAATTAAAAAAAAATTACTTTTGAACATAGCAATAAAAACCTAAGCATTTCTCCATTCCTTGCCTAACTTCTTCCTTAATGTCACCTGAACTGGTTGTACCAAACATTGGAGGCCTTTCTTTCTTTTTTAAAAAATGTTTATCTTTGAGAGAGAGAGCACGAGCTCAGGGGCACAAGTGGGGGAGGGGTAGAGAGAGAGGGGGGACAGAGGATCCAAAGCAGGCTCTGTGCTGACAGCAGAGAGCCCCATGCAGGGCTTGAACTCACAGGAGATCATGACCTGAGCCGAAGTCAGTCACTCAACCAGCTGAGCCACCCAGGTGCCCCTGGAGGCCTTTCCGTTTGTTATTCGACATTATGGATTTTCTTCTAGTTTCTTGGTCCACACATCCCTCTATGAGACCTACCCTGGTCATCCTGTAATACTGTAGCCAGCCCCTGGCCTCAAACAGTGGGAGCTCCTGATCTCCTTTACCCTGCTCCGTTTTCTTCTTCTTCTTCTCTCCATAGTAACTGTTACCATTAAGTAATATTTTTGAGTTGTCTTTTAAGTTTACCGCACGATCCTCCTGATGACTACGGCGCATGCTCCTTGAAGGCAGGTGTCTTCGTCTTGTTCTGTGACCTAATCCAGGTGTCTAGAGCAGTTCTGGGCACTTAGTAGAAGCTCCATTCAGATTTTTGGAATAAAAAGAGGTATTGTCTCAAGTGGGCTGTGACTCCCTCATAAAAAGGAAAGGGCTGTAGCCAATGTTTGGAAGATGGGCGCCATCTTGCCATAGGTGAGAGAAACAGAAAAGGCACTCCACACAGGGGAGTGACAAGCAAATGCTGCAAGATAAAAGCTAAGTCATTTGAGAGGCAGTAAGTAGGCCAATTTGCCAGTGCCAGGATGTGTGGCATTGAATGCTGGAACAAAAGGTATGGATTTCCTTTATTCTTGTGGCATAAAGGCAATGGGAGGGAAGGGAAGGGTATTTATGGAAGGGTTCTGACTTGACGAGAGTCTTTTTTTTTTTTCTAAGTTTATTTGTTTAAATAGTATTTATACCCAATGTGTGGCTCGAACTCACAGCTGCAGGATCGAGAGTTGCATGCTCCCCTGAGCCAGCCAGGAGCTCCACAAGTGATATTTTAGAAAAATTGATCTGGAGGCGGGGTGAGGTGCCTTTTGGATGGGAATGGTTCCTTCTGGGATGTCTCCTTCAATCCCCACCCCCTGCCTTCATGAGCACTCTGGGGATTTACTGTGCCCCCGTTTTCACTGTGCTCTCACTACTCCAGTTTAAGCCAGAATCTGAGTCTTAAGGTGTGGAGCACATCTTCGATTTGAAGGGAGGAGGATTTGGCTCTGCTCTCCTTTCTCTAGGTGAAGTCAGGGGAGGCAATGGCCATGGCCTCTGGCTAGAAATGGCATGTGGCACTTGGAATGCTTCCTCCCGCTTCTCCCTCCTCAAATTTGTGTTACTGTCCCCCAAAGGGATGAATGAATGCTTGAGATTTCCCTAAGCAACAGTGAAATTCCAAAGAAGTAAAAGGCAGGGAGAACTTTGCCCCATATCAAGAACATGGACAAATTTAGAGCTGGAGGCTTATGTTACAATTGCAAGTCAAACTCCAAGTGGGGTAACCAGCCCATTAGCGCAGGCACGTGAAAACTGACTTTTCTGCCATCCCTACGCACACACACGCGCACACACACACACACACATACATGTGTGCACACTCTCACATACACACATTCATTGGGCCCTGGAAAGATCAAGGCCAACTGCAAAGTACCCATTCCCCAAGACTCCTAATTTATATTGGGAACTAGCTATAAAGCTCCCCCTGGTCCCCCAATCTTCCCTTGCAATGATAAAGAGCATGTCACATCACACTAAATGTGACACTTAATCAAAACCCATCTTCTTTAACAAACCCTTAACCTCCAGCACATGAGAGTCACCAAGGCCAAGGGACGAGACAGGGAGCCGACTCAGGTGGCACATGCTTTGATTAAGATGATACAGATTTCCTTTTATTTCACTTTCATCAGAGTTGTAAAATTCGAATCTATCCCCTTTTTGATTTGACAACAGCACATTTCAGTAGAGGTTGACACCAAAAAAAGATCAGGACTTGTTCTCTCTTCAACCGGGAGTAGACGATAATTTCTCTGAATCCTCTTCAGTAATGATCGTCAGAGCTTCTGATCTTCCCATAAGCAAGTTTTGCAGAGAACACGGTTAAACCGAAGCACAAACCTGGCTGGCATCTGGTTCCTTTCTTAAGTGGTATCTAAATAGCCTTAATCTCTAGGCCCTGGAAAAGACCTCCCCTTCTCTGCCTCCTTTCTTGGGTCTTTTTTTTTCTCAGACTTAAATCCTCAAGTGAATTCTTTTGCCAGATTTCTGGGGCAGGAAATCTACTTCCCTGCCACACAGTACTTGAGAAACTTCTGGGGGCTTCAGCAATTGTCCATTTCTGTAGCATGAGCTATGGTTTTTCTCATGACCAGTGAGGGATTTTGTTTTTAAACTGTTTAATCACTAGCTAGCTCCCAACAATACAAAGGTACTTCTACCTGGTCAATGTGCATTTATTGAATCTCAGTTATGGACGATGTAGATGTCGCAAGAGAAAAAAGGCTTCCTTCTGCTTCCAAGACACTGTCAATCTTGAAGTTAAATGTGATACCGGTATATACAGTACAATGTGACAAGTGGCTGCAAGAATTCCAAAGCACGGGCAGTTCATGAATCCAGAAAGCATGAAGCATCTACTGTGTGCAGGACCCTGTTCTAGGCACGGGATACCGCTGTGTACAAAATGGACAACATTCCTGTCTGCAAGACACTTACGTTCTAGTTGGAGCTGGGCAACATTTTCA